CCACTTTGGATAGTCGGCTTTATTCTGGCAAATGATTTAGTTTTAAATTACTTCCCACATTAACAATTGTAACACTTAGAAGAGCTTCACCCGAAATCTTCATCTATTAATTCTTTATGAGTGCATGTACTCGTTAGGCTCTTAATAATACCAAAGAAAAATATACATGTTAAATTGGAATGTTAATGTGCAATAAATTACCCCTTTTTTCATATTACTGTTATTATAAAATTTATGATTACTTTAATTTTTTCTTTATGAAAACACGAATCATACAATTTCTCTAAAGCTTATTCAACTTGAAGGCCTATGTTGTAATTTGTAGTAGACTTTGTTGATTATATTTACTTTGTTGAAATATCTTATGCATAATACAATTTTCGATCACAATCCATAGCAGCATTGGTAACGGAGACTTGCAAGCTGGCACTTAGCTGACTAGTTAGCATGCAAGCGCATGCCCCGTTCACATATTCAAGTTGAAAGCAGATAATAGTTTGATACTAAATCGTTGTGGAATTAAGGTGTTGGGTCATTCCATGTCAAGTGCACCAAATTTCGGAAAGTTGGGAACATGACCCCCTCCAAAAAATTATAAAAAATATATGTTATAGTACATGGACTTAAGCTAACAAATCCAAAATTATACGTCTCTAGACCGAACATTCGCTGAGATATGGCCATTTGAAATTAGGGTACTGAAACGGATCATAAATTCAGAATTTTTTTTTCAGGTTTTCAGGCGCTTTAAACTCACATTTCTAATAGGAGTAGAACTCTTTAACTTTGTAATCTAAGACAACTTTTGTTGTAGATTATGAATTAGCATCACACGCAATGTGCGATTCACACAGTTCGTACCACCAGGTGGCAAAATGTGGAACAAATAAATAATTCACTTTTATTTTCAGGATTTCCACAGCCTCTGGCAAAGTCATTATTGTATACACGAACTCCAAAATTGGCATAGTTAATGTCAGTTTGTGTTTTATCAATTTACAAAAGATTCTAAGTCGATGGAATATATACTTTTCCAAATATTCAGTCTTGTTATTCAATGCACACTGAAAACGTACAAAATATACACATTTTCACCTTCAATTTTGGCCATGTGGGACAGAGGTCAAAATTCTGAAAAAGTTTGATAATGAGACTTCAATTACCCTACTATAACATACATTAAAGTCCATCTTGTGTATTTGATGGTTTATATTTTTAATTGACACTTGAATTCTGATGCGGTGATGAGGTTTTAATGGCTGTTATAAAAATTGTTGACTTTTCACTTTGATTTTAAAATTACGTCTAAATGACCTATACCCCTCAAATGTGTCTATATAGAGTAAATATGTAATCATTTTGATCTACATTGTATTGTTCGAATTTATATTTGACCTCCCAAATGAGAAAAAATGGTTATTCCACTTTACAAATTGGAATATTGGACTTTGACAATCAGATTAAAATTACTTCTGAAAGAGAGAGAGAAATGGGGTTTAACGTCCACTCGACACAAACTAGGTCATTTCGGGACTAACATATGTTTTTTAATTTTATTTACATATTTCGCTTGCGCGTAGGGGTCTTTAGCAGTGGGAGGAAACCGGAGGACCCGGAGAAAACCCACGAGGTTGGACAGGCGACCCTACTCCTTGTCACGTACAACCGGGGATTCGAAACCACGCCAGTCGACTCAATGACAGGCTTTATGATACAGCGCGCGCACGCTAACCATTCAGCCATCCCCCCTACTTCTGAAAGACTTAGGCATTTATCATTTTAGAGCAACTTATAATGTAGAATAAGAATACAGACACATTTTGGTTACAGGGAGTATCGTTTTAATTTAATTTTGCTTTCAAAAACAGGGGAAAACTTGTGTTGTCTGCTTAGAAAGTTGTAGTACAGTAATGTTGTTACACGATCACTGAACAACTGAAAACTACAGACCGCAATTCCTAACGCACGGTCTTGAAACTTTGCATACGTATTCCTTACACCCTAAGGATGTTTCCTATTGTTTGTGGTGCATGCCCAACCCAGGCCAGAGCCACACCCATTTTTTCTTTGTGTGTCTGTGTGTTTTGCCTACAGGCCGCAATTCTTAATGGATCGTCTTGAAAACTATTCATATATATTCCTTATATCCAAAGGATGACTGTTATTATTTTTGGTGCATGCTCGACCCCCAGGAGCACAGCAACACCAGGTTTTTGTGTTATCGTCCACAGACTGCAATTCTGAGTTTTTGGTGCATGACCGACCCCTGTCACGTTCCAGGATGATCCATTCAGAATTGCGGCCCCTAGGCGATAAACATAAAAAAAGGGCGTTGCTGTGCTCCCCCGGGGTGGGGGGTCGGGCATGCACAAAAAACAATAGCGGTCATCCTAAAGGTATAAGGAATAAGTATGAAAAGTTTTCAAGATGATCAAAACACACAGACACACAAAGAAAAATTAAGCGTAGCTCTGTCCCTGGGCGTTGGTCATGCACAAAAAACAATAGCAACCATTCTTGGGGTATAAGGAATAAGTATGCACAACTTCAAGACAATCACTGGGGTCAGGCACGCACCAAATACAATAGCGAACATCCTTAGGGTAGAAGAAAAAATTAGTATACATAGTTTCAAGACGAAGCGTTAAGAATTGCGGCCTGTAGTTTTGAGGCGTCTAGTGATAGTAAAACTATATAAGTACTTCAACTTTCTAAGCAAACAAAAGGAGTTTTCAGCTGTTTTAAAGCAAAACTAAATTGAAACGATACTTCCTGGATCCCCAAAGAGTCCTTATTCTTATTCTATGCTAAGAATTGGTCTAAAATGACAAATTTGAGGGACCTAAGTCTTTCAGAAATAATTTTAATCTCATCAAAACCCATTATTCCAATTCTTGAAGCGTATTAACCATTTTGTTCTCATTCTGGACGCAAAATAAAATTAGAACAATACAATGTACATATTTGTAATTACGCAAAAAAGTCACCCTAAATAGACAGGTTTGAAGAGTATAGGTCATTTAGAACTTATTTTAAAATCAACGTGAAAAGTCAACAATTTTTAAAACAGCCATTAAAAAAATAAAAGCCATCAAATACATAAGATGGACTTTAATGTATGTTATAGTAGGGTAATTCAAGTTTTATTATCAAACTTATTCAGAATTTTAACCTCTGTCCCACATGGCCAAGATTGAAGGTGAAAATGGGTATATTTTGTACGTTTTCAGCGTGCATTGAATACCGAGACTGAATATTTGGAAACGTATTTATTCCATCGATATGATATAAGATCAACTGACATTAACTATGCCAATTTTGGAGTTCGTGTATACAATAGTGACTTTTCCAGAGGCTGTGGAAATCCTTAAAAAAAAAGTGAATAGTTAATTTCATTTGTTCCACATTTTGCCACCTGGTGGCGCGAACAGTATGCATTGGACAATGAGTGTGATGCTAAATTTATAATCTACATCAAAAGTTGTCGTAGATTACAAAGTTAGAGAGTTCTACTCCTATTAGAAATGTGAGTTTAAAGCATCCGAAAACCTGAAAAAAAATTCTGAATTTATGATCCTTTTCAGTACCCTGATTTTAAATGGCCATATCTCAGCGAGTTTCCAACCTAGAGAGGTAAAATTTCGGATTTCTTAGTTTAAGGCAATATACTATAACATTGGAGGGGGTCCATGTTCCCACCATTGGTCCAGTTGATATGGAATGATTTGAAATGAATTGGAATGGGGTTTAACGTCCTACTTTTCTACATTGTGTCAAACAGTATTTCGTTGGTTGAGCTACCATAACCACTTGTCCTGTTTAGGTTTGATAGAGAAATGATCATCGGGAAAGTAGCTGTGTTGCTTCGGATTATGGAGGTACTCGATTGAACGTTCCGGAGTTAAATTCTTTCAATTCCAAAAATAGTGTTAATAGAGTGAAAAGGAAAATTTCGGAGTACAACGCATGTGCCGACTGCATGAAAAAAATATCCCAACCAATTATGACAGCTGAAACATATTTGTTACTTAAAATACTCAATCATCACTCATACCACATCAGCTGTCTGGACTGGCAGAACTGTGACATGGCCGAATTCCGTATCAGTTGATTGGAATACTGTCAATTCGGGACGTTCCGGACTGACAATCGAGCACCCCCTTCTTTAGAAACAATTAAAATACAGATGTGACGCCACCCTTTGATGTTGGCATACCATTATTTCCAATAATGTACGGGCAACTTGCCAATCGTACATTATCTATACATGTACTAGATGAAATATTGGACTCGCGTGACGTATTTTATTGAAAAGCACGTACGGGATATTGTCTATATTTTAAGTTGTTTAATGGTCTCGAGCTAAAGAAATTGCGTAAAACAACACTCGGCTAAGGCCTTGTGCATTATCAATATATTACTTAATGTCTTCGCTCTCGACCATCAAACCTTACTTAAGGAACAAGGGGAATAACTCTCCTTATTCAAAGCAAATAAACTATTTTCTTGATTTGAACACATTCTAGGAATCGGATCTTATTGGATTTTTAAAACCCCGTTTATTGGCCCTTTTACCCTTTTTTTTACCAGCCACAGAATTCCACAAATTTAAACTGTCGCGTATTTTTTTTTACCAGCCACAGAATTCCAGAAATTTAAACTGTCCCGTATTTACAAGTTTTTGACGACATGGGGACAATAACGCTGTGTAAACTAGTTGTACGTCTCTGAATTCCGATACGGTTTCTCCTTAAAGGACTATGCTTACTATCCAGCACGTATTAAAAACATTAAATCTGAAACACTTTGACGTGTAGAATTTTCAAAGTTATCGGTGAAAGGGGTAGCAATTTGACGAATTTCGACAGTCTTCCGCCTTTTGACTATCTGGGTTTCAAAAATGACAAAACTGTGCAGCAGATGAATGGATCCACGGACAAGTGTGACGACTGTATACTCTCAATTGAAAATGTGAATAGGCCGTTTTTAGAACTTGATTTATTTATCTGTTAAATCAATTAAATAAACATTGACCGGATAATCACCAACTGCCTGGTCCGTCATATCTTTGTTGCACCATCGCAAATAATGTCTGAAAGGCAAAACAGGTTTTTTTTTTCAATTTAAAACAATGTAATTATAGAGCTAAACTAAACAAATTGCGCAAACTTAAATTTACAAGGGGTAATACTTCCATTTTCTGGAACAGCTGAATCCACTGAAGTTACTTTGAACCGTTTTCTGGGAAGTGCGACGTATTTTAGCACCGGTTTGTCATTTTGCATTTATGGGCTTTGAATTTGAATACCTTTCATTGTGGATGGTAATATATCTCATTGCCCTGTATGGTCGATAGTACTATACCTGCTTCCTTTTGTAGGAAATGAAATGGGAGTTGACGTTCCACTTATCTGCACCGTCCAGGATAATAAAGACTGGCATACATCATGTACTGTGCTATGAAGGAAAGTTTGCCTAGGCAGCGTCGATCTACCTACTCTTCGTCGCATTTCAACTGTCAGGGGTTCTTTTTAGGGCACCCGACCCTGTACACGTGGCTTTGTTTTTCTGTCCCAGCCGAACGACTAGACACTGTTCCTTTCCAGGCCCTCCGTCCTACACCACTGACAAAGTTATCTTACCTTATATTTTCTGTCTAATTCTCTTGCACGAGTATCCAGACGTCGTAAACCCACTGCCAAAACTGAACGATCGAGCTCCCCAGATGCTGTAAATATAAATATCGTACTCGTTGATCGTCCGATTATTAAAGGTTATAATAAATAGTATTTGATAAATCACAAGGCTTGATATGGCCTGTTTTCGTTAACAAAATATATTTTCATAATAGAAACTTTGTCCGTGTAAATTTAGCCTCCGAAAGAGGGGCCCGGTGATAATAACATTACGGCGATATAATATTTTTCGTTTATATACGTTTTCCTTACTTGACAGGTTTTCTGTAGATAGGGCATTTTAGAATGTTTAGGGCATACCACATCGAGTTTTAGTTCTTCGGAATTTCAGCTAATAAAAAGAAGCAAACGAGCCACAACAAATAATTAAATTTTGAAAAACATCGGACAGTCTTGTACGCACTGAACTATGCTTTCAAACCAAACATTAATATTATGCCATCTGTTGAATCATATACCCAACTAAGAAATACATCATACAAATTCAAATTTAAACTTTTAGTAAATCAAACACAATGGAAGTGACTCCTTTGTCATTTGATAGAATAACAAGCAAAACCAAAAAACGATATCAGAACCTTTAATTCTTAAAACAATAAAGGGAGAATTATTGTAATGCGGGTACTTGGTATCGAAACCAACATACAACTAGTTTGTTGGTTATTCCTGAAGCCAACACTGATTTATTCAGCAAAACTGCGCCAAAGTTTACTATAAACTGGATTTGCTTATTAAATTTAGTTGCCATAATAGACGCCCAAACATTTGCTCGTTGTCCGTATATTTTCGTTTCGTATTCCCATTCGCCGATATTAAAAATGGCAGTATTATTTAAAAAAAGGTCGCCACGAACGCGACATAAAGGGTGCGAACACACAACACCCAAAATTTTACAGAAAATAAGCAAATTACAATAAGCAAAATTATGCACGACAAGTCCGACGAACGAGAAATCAAATGGGTTTGGCCTTTTTTTTATGAAATATTGTATACCTTTAAGATTTCGTTTGATTCTTAAGATGTGAACTTTGGTTGGGGTCGATTGATTAAAATCATTTCTGAAACAATTTGCATTACGATAAGACTTCTTTACATTGCAAGTCGTCTGAATGTGTAAATTCGACGGGAATGAAACTGAAACCTGCTGAATGCATTTATCTGTTTTCGTAGGCTCCATGAGGAGGGTTGCAAAAAACGTGTGGTTGGGGTCTTACCACCAAATCGTGATGCTATTACATCGTCGCCTGTGAGGAAGCGATCGTTATTCCTGTCCAGCATATCGAAACCATAACTGGCCAACATCTTTGGATAACAGAAAACATGGACCAATCTGTTGACAAATTCTGCTCTCGATGTTTTACCATCCTCTAAAAATTGGAAACCAAAATATAGCGCATCCAAGAATTAAAACCATCTGAACCAACAGTTTAAAGAAGAAAAAAATAAACGTTTGTTTTAATTCTCTTATGCTAGGTTCCCACTATCACGATTCGTGCTACATTTGAAATCGTGGTTGTAATAGTGTAGTAATCGTGGTGATCCTATCAGGTCTTATCATATATTGAGGTCATTCGTAGCAACCGTGTTGATCACATCGAAACGTAACTAGACGAGAGAGAGAGAGAGAGAGAGAGAGAGAGACAGTGAGTAACATAATATGGTAAATATTTATTTCATTAATTTGCATGCACAGAGGCGTCTTTTACAGTCGGAGGAAACCCTTTAGTCTTTGAAAATCCTCGAGGATCATGAAGGTGCCCGTCAAACCCTTTGACCAATATAAAACATATCTTTAAGCGCATAGTCAAGGGAACATTTCACCGTTAATTAGAAACTTTGGGTCACATAATAAGCATAAATACAAAAAAGACAAACCAATGTAATTCTTGATTAAGAAAAAAAACCTGGGCCTTACTGGATGAATCGCCGAGCAGGACACTGTTTCTGTCTTCAGTCAGGGTTATTTTACCATCGTTATTTACATCAACAGCAGATAAAACAGCATTCACATCCAGATAGCTTCCATGAAACGCCCTCGAACTGTCAATGTAATTGATAGATGCAAAGCACACTGTTTTATAAATGAAACGAAAATAATCTATAGGACATAGTTCTACACACGAGGATTTTATTGGAAGATAAACAGTTAAATGAACAAAGTTAATATTTTCCATAATATTCGAAATTAAAAACACGAATTAGAATTCTATATTGATCAATTTCAATCAATATTGATGTTCTTATCTTGCCGTGAAACAATAGTGTTATAATATCCAATATTTTAGAAACAATTAACAATTTTAATTAGTACACGAGTCGTGTACCCTATGGTTTCGGGTGCCATTTTGTAATGAACAAATAAAAACACAGAATGTGGAAGTAATTAGTAAAGGATGATTCACAAACGACAAAATAATAATTTAAAAATCGTGTAGAATGCACTAAGCAGGCGTAAACGACTGCCGTTCAATTTGAACTGTTCACGTATTTCACCGAACATAATTGATTAGAAATCTCAATATTTTTTTTTTTATTACAAAAAGTGAATATAAATCACTTTACATACATTCATCATAGTACATTAATATGTGCTTTGTAACCTCTTTGTCTATTTCAATACACCCTTTAATCCATGGGAGGCTTTGTATCTTGTATTATGTCTATCAATTGGGAGCCACGGTGGCTATGTGGGTAAGACGCTGATTTGCTAGTCTGGAGGTCGCGTGTTCGATCACTGCATTGGCTTAGAAAGTTCATCGGGGTTTTCCGACGTGATTTCCCCTTGCAGGGCGGTGGGCCTGACAATGCCAGTTGTCTAGTCGTTCGGGTGGTACCAAAAAACCGAGGTCCCGCGTATACATTGGCGTTCACTAAAGATCCATCGGGAATTGGAATTCGATATAAGAGTTGGCCATAGTGCCGCTGCCGAGGCAAAATTTCCCTCATAGCACACTGTATGGCTTATGCCCGTCTTCATTAGCCCAGTATAGGATCAGAACAGTAGTGCGTTAAACACCATTTCATTTCATTTCTATCAACTGAACAAAAATAAATGAAATTCAGACGAACACGTCCAGGCATAATTTTTAACATCTTTTCATAAAAACTTATCAAGGCTATTTCCAAGTTTTAAAAAAGACTTACTTGCAATTTGACCCATTACCAAGTGACGTCATCATCACCAGACATACAACCAAAGATATTACTCTATTCATCGTAATGATCTGCTGTAATTGAAATAATGTATCATCTATTTATATGTGAATACAAATAGTTTTGTGATCTAAACTAGATATAACAACGAGTTTAGTACACGGTTGCTTACTCTATTCAGAAAACCAAATACTTCGTTTGGTCTGAATTAGCTAGGCCGTATATGAACTCTTCAAATGGCATTCCAGGCATATGCGTTTTAGAAGATGAAAGACTAGTTTAACTTTGATTTCTGAAGTAGAAGCTCCATTGTAGAAGTTAAAATCTGTTACAAAGGCATATAGTCCAATCTATCAGTCCTATAAAACCTTACGGCCAGCCCCCGGATCCATTCACTTATTTTGAATTGTTCGTTTGTTTGTGATTTCTGCGTGTTGTATCTTGTCCGTATAATTATGTAAATTATATGTGGTGCAGTCCCCCTGCACTTACTACATGTATCATAGACTCTAAGTTTTTACTTCTTCACCATCTATATCATTAGATTACGCAGAAATTAATTAAATCGAATGCCACAGGGAAGCTATATAAATGATAAATACTTATAAATCCAGCAACTAAATGCATTTGAAAGATTTAAAGATTTTGTAACTTACAGATTAAAAATGAATGCTTGTAATGAGGTTTATTAGTCCTACTTTTCGGCTCCAACCGGGTTAATGAAGAATAGGCTACACGAAACCTCGGTTATCTCGTCCGATCGGAACGGCTAGACAGAGTTTCTTGCCAGGCCCTCCGACAAGGGGAAGCCACATCGGAAATTCTGAGGTACTTTCGCGGACATTATCGGTATCAAATCCGGATCTCCAGGTTAGCGAGGCAGTGCCGTACTCACTGCTGGTCCCGACTTCAGATTAAAATATCACCTCGTCTTTTATGTGCAGGATAAAGCACGAGACTGGGGTTATTGCTGGGGGAAGAAAGACTGAGGAAAATAACCAGAGAAAGGAAAAACCGAGGCCGATGAGGTTTTTCTTTCGAGGTTTTTTTCTAAAGTCTTTTTCCCCCAGCGTAACCGAAGTCGAGGACTTTATCTTGCTTATAAACCGTCTATTTTTACATGTACGTAAAATGATAATATCTCAGAATTTCAGTAAGAAAAACCTTATTTCATTTTTTCTAATGAAAAATAAAAACTAAGTTTACAAATGAAATAAAAATGACTATTAAAGAACATAGAAGGTACATCTTCCGCCAAATGCACATTTATTAATTAAATAAAACGCTTCGTAATTAAACTCTTAAATCAAATTAATCTTCCAAGTTGAATTATCTTACCTTTTATAAAATACAGCGAATAGTTCTTATTTGGTGTAGATTTTGTTTGAATGAATAGATGTGCCGTGTAGCGTAATGTATATTCAAACAATATGCTAATATTGACCTAAACCACGGTTAGTCATCAGTCTTACTTTTCTATTATATACAACTGAATACAAGATATTACTCAGCATAATCTCCACCAACCAGGTTAATGAAGACGGACATACACTATGCTTTGTGATATAAGAGAAATCTTGCCCTGACAGCGGCGTTTCTGATTTCTCTTGTATACATGAAACCACGTTGTTTCGTACCGCCCGAACAACTAAATGATGTTCCTAACCGAGGTATATTTTGTTGGAATAATTTCTTTGTCCACTGTGGTCTTTAGAGGTGCGGTGTAGGAGGCGGACTGGAGGAAAAAACCCCGACGGTGTTAAGATCGGAATGACCTGGATGGGTGGTGTTGTCCTTGACTATTATGAATTATGAATCTGAAGCTGTCTCTTTTTTGGTCTGTGTATTTTGTTGGGTGGGGTTTCTGTTCACCTTGACACGAATGACTAGACTTTTTAACCATCTATTTTGGAGAAGCATGTCATTATGTGTCATCGACTAGTTTAAATCGCTATTGAAGAGTGTAAGTCATTATTTTGTTAAAGGTTTTGTAAGGGTTAAACAGTTTTCCTGTTACACTCATCTGGGCATGAATAATAAAACTTGTGAAATAATTCATAACACGTAAAGCCATTTAGAGTGGACGAATTCATGATAAAAATTCTAACCTCTAGAGGGTCCACCACCTTAGCGTTAAATACTTTTACACTATTTACGTACGTGGAACGGTCATTTTGTAGGGCAGTTTCGGTCCGTTTTTCAATAATTTCGAACTCAACCGTCATTGTGGTGTAATGGTGAAATATGTGAACGGTTTTTAAAATCATATGTGACCTCTAGAGGGTCCACAAGCTAAGAAGGCGATTTTTCGTACAATCAGGGGCCATAATCAAGAAATTACAGCCCGATATGCGCGAATATCGAACGTAATCGAGATCTTTGGGTTATAAATGGGCATTTTGTTTCAATAAAATCGGATAAAAATTGTGACCTGTAAAGCTAAAAACGTGATTTTTCGTACTCGAAGTTACGGTCCGATACAATATTAATTATGATAGAATATACTTTGCTTAATCTAGCTGCAAATAATTATAGAATAAGATTGTCATCCGCACTGTGAAGGAATAATCCTTGATCTCTGTTCATCGTTGGTTTGAGTCTTCGTATCTGAATGGCTTCACATGGTCGGCGTGTCCTCTTCTTGACAATATTCATGCACAGCGGAGCAGTCGGGATTCTGGGTTTAGCCGTACTAGCCGACATCAAACAGCTATGGGTTGTACTTTTACATCAATCTTATTGGAGGATTATTTATATAGCTTATATTCACTGCTCTCGGTCGCCACTGACCTTTATGTCGTGGTGCTTACTCCGCGCTAAATTGATTTTTATGTCGAAAAACAAATCGAAATATAATCGGTAGATAATTTCTCGGTTTGGACTCAATCGGATTAAAACGGCCCATTACCAGGTTTTTCCAAACACTTATAGCTGGCGCTGGAACTGGCTTGTTATTCTATTTGAGGGAAGTATATACTGACATTTTGGCTGCGTCAGTCCGGCAATACGTCAGTATGTCCAACCCGATTTTGTTTCCGGGGCATACTTATGGTTCCCGAGCATATCTAAGTATCTGTTAACCAAACCTTGCATGCATATCAAGAAGCTATCATAGTAATTGTGTAGTTAGCAATCTAAAATTCCCAGTTCAAAATTCTTTATGTTTCTGTGAAAACATATTTGATTTATTTTTTGGTCAGCAATTATTCCAGAGAACAATTATGGAACTGAGCATACAAAATTCCGTTCTTTAAATATATTTATGAAAGGAAATCGCCCCATCCATCAGATTACTGTAAATTAAAGATTGAAAAACCCTCGACCGTTTCAGAAACTGTTCACTTTCAATGAGCAAGCTAAGTCCACAGTTGAATGTGGAATGGTCCAGCTGATGTTCGATTGGAATATGTGATGTGTTACAAATGGTACTCCATAGAAAAGAATTTGCCATACAAAAATTGTATTTAGGTAACAAATTCTATACCAAACCTTCAATATGCTTATTATTCGAAAATGAATAATAATCCATCCAAAATTTAGAAACGAGCTTTTATGTAAACATTTACTAACACTTGGCAAAGATAGCCATGATAGCTTTGATTTTGACAGTTCTGTTTTGACCGATTTATGAAACGCTCCATATGAATAATGTTGGTATTAAAAAATGTCCCATTTCTTACAAATGAGGCCAATAGTCTATAATATTACGATTTAACACCTGATTTATCGATAATTCTGCTATCTTTATTTACCTGGCTGTGTCAATTTACCGCTTATCGGAAGTGCTGATTACGACAATAAGTTCATGAATAACTTATTTTGTAATATTACCAAATCACGTAAATGGCACCTCATTTGTGTTCAGATATGAATTATATGAATTAATAAATTCCGCAGTTGTTTAAATTAAAAGAATAAAAATTTGTAATTAAATTAACACTTTGCCTATTGAGATTAGCGTAAGTTCAAGTATGTTAGACGTTCGGAGACGAAGGTACAAATCGTTTACATTGTTTACGTTTTTAAAACGGTGAAGTGTTTTATTACTAAACGGAATAAGGCATAATTGTGTATATGGTGGTGTAAATATATCGATATATTGTAAACGCAGTCAGTTTAACGATTATTCGCATAGCTCGTCTAAAGATATGAAGGGTCATTTTTAAGATTGAAAAAAAAATTGCGGACCCCAACACTACATGGAAACAGGAAAACAACTCGAAATTTAAGACTCGATTACTGTGCTACATAGGCCAGAGTATCAATAGAGAGATGATAGCTCCCCCCAACTTTTATCGTTTTGTCTGTAGGTGTAGCGGCGATTGGGCAAGAATGTGATGAAATTGAAATTGATAACACGCGGGTGTGCGAGTTAAAGGGGTATTGACAGTGAAATAGTGTATTGTGAGTAATATAGTTTATTTTGGACTTTTGTATCCAAGGGTCACTATTCTGTGTTGGAAAATAATATGTTCAGCCTTGATGGTGTCGAGACTAGTTTGCAAACAAGATGGTGTCACTTTCCCTTGCCCTTAAAACGTAATGTCTGGGTTTATATTTACAAAGGCCCAGAAACTGCAAGGAGCTAAAATAGCACACACGAAATATTTCAAAGCTTGACAGTTTCTGAAATAATGTTGTTTTTTTGTGTTATATTATGTTAATAGTTGAAGGTTTCCCTTTAATTAGACACTATGAACACATTTTATGTATTTTTTTTTAACTATTCTGTTCTCTCAATGTTTGTTGTGAGCCTTAAGGGTAAAAGTCACAATTATTGATGAGCCATACCCCTAAATTAAGCTCTGATATATTACATTTTATTAAACACACTCCAAATAAGACTTTGTAATGTACATATATTAATAAATGCACATTTCAAATGAGCCAAAACTCCACACAAATGTTTTTTGCTCTCAGTTATATTATTTTTTTTGATGATCAGGATGTGCATTGACGTAGGTTAGCATGTTAAAACAGACAGTGAGGTCTGCGTTTAAACAGCAGCCAACGAGTGATTAAGAGACTTCGATTCCAGACTTTTTTTTACTAAATGTAAGCTATTTAAGACCATCGCATTCACTTACGTAAGGAACAGTAACCCAATGGAGATCGTTTAGATATGGGAGCCATGTTTCTCGATCTAGGTGATCTATGTCCTTGCAGTTTTGAGTTGCACCAGAAGGTAATTGTTGCAATAATCGAGCCACGAAGGAATTAGGACCTGACACCTGAATAACGAGAGAGAGAGAGAGAGGGAGAGAGGGAGAGAGAGAGAGATGGTTTAACGTCCACTCCACACAAACTAGGTCATTTCGAGACTAACCTATGGTTCAATTTTATTTCAATAAATCGAAACAACACCAGTTGACTAAATGACATAGCTTAAGATACAGCGCGCACGCGCTAACCACTTAAGCTGATTCATGATTTAGGCAATTTCGAAATTTAATGAATTTATAAAAAAATTAAAGTATATAACATGTCTTTAATTTTAAATTTCAGTTGCCATATTAAATGCAATGAGTACCACATTGGCTGTTTTAACTTAGATATTTATGACAAATCATGCATTTTTTTCTCGTGTAAACTATATCGAAAACACTTTATATAATTCATTTCAAAATAGAATACTAATGTGCATAGTCATGATCTAAATACAGACACATGTAATAGAAACTTCCATCATAAATTTAAAATAAGCAAACATGGAAAGGCATGTAAGCATTAAGAGGTATTCATACATGTTAATGTTGATTTGGAAACTTAATACACGTACGTAAACACAACATTAACTATGCCCATATAGAAAACAAACCGCCTCGTCTACAAAAGACGCCTTGGGTCAAGTGACCGAATTTTCAAAGCGTAGGCGGGACTTATCTTTAAGTTATAGACTTAGATGTTACCCCCCCCCCCCCCCGTCCCAAGCCTTGACAAATTAAAATAACAACCTCCTTTACTCATAAAATATCTTTATTGTTATTTCAAAAGCAAACATTTACTTTAAAAATAATAATCCATTGGAAGGGAAAAATTACCGAAACTGTCCAGGTTTGGTTCAACTTTTAATTTCCAACAATCTGTTGGTTTATTGTTCCTTTCTTCGCAGTATCGTCTGAATAGCTGCAATAAATATATAGTTTAAGAACAGTATAGAAAACATTTATAAATATATATATGCGTGTAAACCTTTATATATATTATAACCTAAATGAAGAGGGAAATGGTGTTTTAAACAACCGCGCCGAAAACTATACGTAAATATATGTAAGCTTTAAAATTGGTTAATTATACCACCTTAAACAGCAGCACGGAAAACCTCATAAAAATATATGTAAACGTTTATATTAATAAAATTAAAGTCCCGCGTTTGTTGAACTTGCAACGAATTCCACGCGGCCATTTTCAATATCATCTGGTCAATCGCCAAACGGTTAAACCAAGAATATCAAATTTTGACTAAAAGTGTTCAATCCCCCGGCCCCACACACCTGTATTTGGAAAATCTTTTGCCTAAATAAGACGACAACAGTTAAAATACTTACATCAATTTGTCTTTTCCTAAACTTCTCTCCAGTCATAACTGAAATTACAAAAGAAATGATGTACACGTATCTCTCATTGTGAATCTTATTTTGAAATGTTCCCAACAAATACTATTTTCTGGTTTGATTTTAAATAATATTAACAGAGAACCTCAACACTGTGAGGTTTTCACATACAACTGTGGAAAGGAACGGATATTATGGTTAACAACCGGTTTAATTGAGAATGAAAAAATAAGGGAATGTACGGGCCTTTTCTTTTTTTTCTCGTTTTCTCTTATCTAGTGACATTCAATTATTTCTTTTTTTTGAATTGTCAGGTATCCTCTCACTGTCTCACATAACACCTACCCATCTTCAACTGTTTAATATGCAGGAGAATCAGCAAGACGGCGAAAAGTGTTTCATACAGTTACAGGTTTTTGTAATGTAACTTTGCGTTTACAATAACTTACAAAATGGACTTGCATAATCCACGTCTGTCCAGACGCCATCTTTGTTGACATCCAGAAGTTGGTAGAAATATCGAACAAAATCTTCATGAAAGCCGTATCGACATCTCCAGTGAAAAACAGTTTCCCACATATATGTTCGAGTCGTATCTCCTTTAAAGATAACATCATTATACGGTTAGCCAACATTAATTACTATATCTAACCTTAAAGATACATTGTGGGAGATTCTTACAGAGAATTGGCCATTCTTGCTATAACAGTTCAAAGGTAGATGATGAAAGAAGAATATTTTGAAAATTTCAGTCAAATTACTTTATTCAGAACATAGTTATCATCGTTGTAATATTTGACTAGAAATGGTCGTGAAATGTGCCTTCACCGTGGCTGATCGTTTGATTGACAGACGTTCACTCCACCTACATATCTCGATTATCAAGTAAAGTTTTCAATGGCATGCGGAAACGCTCTACATCGGCCTCGCTAAGTACACTCTATCATTTAGCCTCGATCTAACTGACGTATTCTCATCAGGATGCGCCATATTTGAATTAATTGATAAGTGAAATCCTATTTAAATCCGAGCTGTAGCCGAGCCATCCGTGGGTCTACAGAGTTGATTTTGGGCTTGTTGTTTAAATAAAGATCTAATTTATAATTTCTATAACATCTGAAGCCTAAATTAAGACTTGCAATAATCAGATTTTGCTCTTGCATAATGTATGTTTAACCAATCGTATCACCTTTAACGATAACATTATTACAAGATTAACCAGCATCAACAACTCTAACCATAACCCATTCTACTTAATCAAGTCGTATCGCCTTTAAATATAGCATTACTACAAGGTTAACTCATACTAACTGTAACCATAACTCATTCATGTTATGAGTTATATTACCTATACAAAAAACATTAACAGCGGGATTTACTTATTTTTGCAACCATAACCCATTGGCGTGATAAGTTAGATCAATTCAAAACCTTAGCACCTTTAAACTCTTCTAATTATCGAATAACCACGCAATACATGCTCGACTAATAAAATAAACGCTAAATGGTGTTTATCTAATCTCACGATGATCGAATTCGTTTTCCCAACTGTTAAAGATCACCAAAACGCCAATGCATCTTTAAACGTGTGAAACACAACGATACGTCCACGGTTATGAGACGATTATTATCCGTATTTCTATGGATACTGGATCATTCCAATTCGAGTGCATGGACGGTTAAATATGGGTTACCCTATGCCATGTTCGCTTTCGTGGACCCATTCTTGATCATGGTCGCCATATTATATCGACATATAACATACTAATAACCTGAATTTTAAATTATTGTGAAATTAACGCACACTTTTCTGCACCCACCACTAAAATGAATACATGCATATGCTATACAATGTGGTACAAGGAAAAGTTCGCTACGTCAGGCGACTTTCTCTAATTTCAAATACCAAATGTCAATGGTCCTTTTACGTGCCGTGGTATATTTCACTTTAATAATGTTTTTTGTGCCTAGGGGTGGGGAGAGGATAAGGTTGACATTGACAGCTAACTTGTCTCTTTAAGATCAGGATATTTGTTGTACCTTGATGTAAGGGGTTCAGCCCTTCTTGGCTCTCTCAGGTACACATTTTACACCAGCTATATTCAGAGATACACGTCATTCAAATTTATGCGTCATCGTCTAGTTTAAACCTTTATTGAAGAGTGCAAGTCATTGCTCAATAAAAGGGTTAGCTAATTCTTCTGTTACACTCAACTGGACATGTATATAATGATACATGTGACACCATTCATAACACGTGGGTCAGAATTCACGACATAACCCTAGTAATGCGAATAATGTTAACTTATTTCAATTAGGTAACTTCTTACGCATATATGGTAAACCTTTTTTTTCTTTCAATCTACTTACCGTCTTTATCATAGTTAACGAGATTTATATCCAAATCTTTACTTGTTACTTTTCCATCAAAGTTTTTGTCGTTGTCAAAAGCTATTAATTCTGCTCGAGCTCTGAGTGAACTGGGTGGATGGCATCCATATAGAGCATACCAATAACTGTAAAACAAGTACAACACGATGACTAGTAATCACCATCCCGCGCCCTTGCACTTGTTTGGAAGGCATGATGAAAAACGACTTCTTGGAATATCAATGGGACTATTCAAAAGATTCATACTCAGTAGCTGGGCAAGGCACGGTCGCTACTCCCTGTAAGGTTTTCACAACAACCTTTGCCTACCTCAATCTGCTACTCTGTGTTAAACATTAAGCTTATAAATCAGAAAATAAAATACTATAATAGTTTGATGTTTGTACAAAGTTTCAGAACGATGTCTTGAATGGACAATGAAATATGCCCCGGAAATGAAATGGGGACGGAAGGACGGTCATCAGAAATTAAAATAATAGGTAGATGAATGTGAAAGTGTTATAAAGGTATCTTGAACAGTTTCTGGGATATCCTCGAGAATAATAATTATATACCAAAAACTAAATCAAATGATTGTGTAAAAAAATTCAAACATCATTCACAGAAATTTGTTTCCATGGAAACACAAAAATGATCAAATCCGAGAAATCTCTAATTATGAAAAGGCACAAACTACTATCACAGGTTGATGTTTGTACAAAGTTTCATGAAGATATCTTGAATGGTTTATGAGATATGTTCCGGAAACAAAATTGTACACCACAAACTAACTCAAATTTGTTTCCATGGAAACACAAAAAATATAAATCCCAGACATCCCTAAATAGCAAAAGGCACAACTACTGTAATTAAATGATGTGTTTGCAAAGTTTTATGAACGGTTTATGAGATATGCTCCGGAAACAAAATTATACACCAAAAACTAAATTAAAATTGTTTCTATGGAAACACAAAAATGATCAAATCCAAGAAATTTCTAATTAGCAAAAGGCACAACTACTATCACAGATTGATGTTGGTACAAAGTTTCATGGAGATATCTTGAATGGTTTATGAGATATGCTCCGGAATCAAAACTGTACACCAAAAACTAAGTGAAATTTGTTTCCACGGAGACAATATTATACACAATATAGCATAAAATAACTGTAAAACAAATACATATACATAGAGCATTCAAATAACGGTCAAACACGTATACATAGCGCGTACAGCCCACCCTAAGCCAAAACTACTGCAAATATATATTATTCATTAAATAACTAATCCCAATATTTATGCCAACAATCTCCTATTTAAGTTTACATTATGACATTACTGACACTTAAAAGTCACTGATTACGGAAGTCGAATTTAATATTTTAGCAACATTAATGTAAATCATTTTGATTTATACTCTGGTTTTAAGGTAAACAGAATCCTGGGGCCTGTTTCCCGTAATTTTAACTAAGATAAAATCCAAATTTTAGTAATTTGATTGGATAATATTAGATTGATTTTAGTGCTTAGCCAATCAAAATTGAAGTACATGTATCTACTAAAACTTGGATTTTATCTTTAGCTAAAATTTCGTGGGGTACTTTGCGTTATAGCTGAATAAAACTGTCCATGTAATAAACAAGGTGTGTTAAGACTAGTTACGCTTCATCAAGGGATACTTTGTGATGTTTGAACCAAAACGTTAAAAAACAATATTATTCTACTAACTTTTTGGTTTCTTTTATGAACTAAAGTTGTTGTTTTTAAAAAAAAACAAAACAAAAAACCCTTACTCATTGAGGGCAACAGCTCCAGTGATGACGGCTAACAAAAACCCCAAACGGAACATACTTTATTATACTAAAAAAGAAACAATAAATATCTGGTACATCATAAAATATACAAACGATCACTAAATATGAAATGATGTCGTGAGTTTCATAAAGAGTAAAAGAGAGTACTCATAACCTGCTTCACGTCCGACAACCGCCATTCTCGTTGACTAATTTGGGGGACAGTTTGTACTTGTTTGTGGCATCAGGTCAGTGGATAACAGGCAGTAAATGCATCAGTCTCGAGTGGAGGCTGTGTAGTTATCTGGCAATCCATGTAATTACTTTTGCATAACACCAAACTGAAAATAACCCTAGATTCAACCAATTGCTTGAGACTAATATAGGCTGTAATATTTATGAATATAAGTCGTCTTAAAATGTCTGTATTTAAATATGATCTCTTTGTGGGCTATCTGTAAAATCAACATCTCCCGATGTAAACTGCAAAGTAACTTCAGTAAAATCGAAATTGTAGCACTAACGAGCCTTTAATAAATGTTTGTTGTTGTTAGTCGTGGTGTTTAACGCCCGCTTCCAATGACACTGATATCGCAGACAAACAACAAAATTTTTATTTAAATAATACCTTTGTAACATTAGATATTATTTACTTTTAAGTACACAATATAAAATAACATAATCCATGTAAGATGTTGTTCCCAAACAATTTACATCATTATGTATGACTCAAGTATATCCTTATATTAAATGTCACAATTCATACGACATAATAATATTTATTTCTCAGATATAGTTTTCTATAATGTTTCAATATTTTAAAGCAATAGTTGTACCTTTTTCCGGAGATCTATACCAGTTGAAGTTCTGTGTATATAAATGATATATAACCTTGATTATATTATATCTTCTAGCGATTGCCTGAATCATTGGTATAAATATTACAATACATGAATAGCTTTTATAAACCCCCAAGATACAGTTAGGTCACTGCATTATAATATAAACATTGACTCAAGTAAAACAAATTCCCGCTTGAACCAGTTGTAAAGAAATCTGCTGAATCATTGCACGTCATCCATTATCCGAGGTCGAATTAATTTCTTTAAATAACTAACCAAATGGTTCAATTATTTGATTGTAAGTTTTGGAAACAGTCACAATTATTGTATTAATTACTCAGGCATATTGTATTAAAGGGATTCTTCTGCTAAACCCCAGTAGAATCTAACAACGTCATTTAGAGTATTCTCTTCAACTGACTTGACCTACACTCGGAGCTATTGATTTCTTTGCCCCAGTAAAATGGTTTTAGCTAATTTTGATTGCTCAAATCAGACTTCAAAGGGAACAGAAGATTCACGATGAAATAATTAGATCTTCATTAAGCAGAAAATATTTTTTTTTATTTAAATTGCAATAAACTAAACATTGTAGATGGGTGTACTATACTCTTCAAAACAGTAGGGAATACTGAAATACAAATACCTATGCAGGTTGCCATATGATAAATAGTCATGGACACTTGACATACTTTGAGAGTATGTTCACAGATGAAGAACTTATCGCCCCAACATAACCACTGAGCTGCCCATGCGACACGTAATAGCGCTATACACGTGGGAGGGGTTCATTGTCAAATTTGACACTTCAAGGAAGGGTTGATGAAAACTGCCGCTTGCTGGTTTATCCTATCCATGTTTGCTTTCCTATCGGTTCTTGCATAAGATTTACTGTTCAGCGTATCTTTGCTTTAGTGTGTTACGTTTAATTTGATCGGGAGACATGTTCGTCGACGTCAACGTCAACCGACAACACTGCAAGAATTGTTCGTGTCACTGCAAAAGAAGTGGGCCAGATTGCCCCAAATCGTGATTGGACGGTTGATTAGGAGCATGCCACGACGAATTGCTGAATGTCTGAGGATTGGTGGAGTAATTACTCATTATTAAGACAAAAAAACAAAAACGTCCATTTTCACTGTTAACAGTGTATCTCTTTGCGAGTGAAATGGGGCCGTCAGATAAACCGCCCATATGAACTGTTTATGTTCACGTGTAGGCAACTGGCCTGTTATTAACATACATTGGTTACCTCTAATAAAAACAACAGTGCATTTCCGCAGTTTTGTAATGTTTCTGAATTTCCCCTACTTTTTTTGAAGAGCATATTTGCATTTTCATTTTTCCTGTCAAATATGCAGTTTAAAGGAGCTAAATCTCTAACTCAATATTTTCCATAATATTCGTAATTAAAAATCCGAATTAGAATTCAATATTGATTGAAATTGCCATTTTGTAATGAAAAAATAAAACATATCCTACAACACAATGTGGAAGTAATTAGTGAAGGCTGATTCACAAACGACAAAATAACTAATTTAAAAAACGTGTAGGATGCAATAAGCAGGGCGTGAACGACTGCCGTTCAATTTGAACTGTTCACGTATTTCACCGAACATAATTGAATATAAATCACTTTACATATATTTACATATTACATTAATATGTGCTTTTAGAACCATTTTTGTCTATTTCAAGGTTCCATACGCCCTTTAAAGTGATACTATCCCATTCATAACCATTATTGGGTATCCAGGTACTATCTGGATGATGTAATCTTGTTTGCCTAAATTTAGCCATAATGAGGTTATTACTTCGATTGACCCCCAAAAAGTTTAGATGACTCAATGCCTCAGAAATCCAGAAAAAAACAGTGTTTACTTAATGATTTGACATAAACGTATGATGGGATTGCAAAATATCAATTAATGAAAGGTTTTTTATGTTTACTTAGCTATAGTCATTACATTACTAACCCTTCCTTGAATATTGCTAAGGTACCCGAAATATTGAATGACTATTCATAATATCAATACTGTTACCAATACACAATCGTAAGAAACACGCACCCACTAGCAATTACGGCGTATATTAGTGCGACTTCTACAGTATTAAAATGGTTTTGTAATGTTCACGGAGGGGTGTAGATTTGAATGGATGGTCATAAATTGTTCAAAATCAAGAAGCATATTCCTTTTTCTTAAATTGAAGTTTAAGAAACTACTAAATTTTCAGAAACATGTCATGATAAATGTGTTAACACGGTTTCATAAATAAGGATTAATAACTCTATAAGTAATTTTGGGAAATAGTTTAAAATCAATGGCTGTCTTCCTAAGCTGATTTCCTAATATTTGTAGCCTTTTCACTGTAATGTTAACAATCTATGAAATTTGTATTCTGGTGTGAATACATCTATAGGGAACATATAAAAATATTGTTTTTGAATCCAGATATGGGTTTGAAAATGTACAAGTAACAAAAAGTTCGGACTTTTTTCAACAACTTTCAAAGTCAGGGTGTGAGGTTACTGCATGAGTGTTAGATTCGTTCAAGTTTTAAATTAAAAGTATAAGTTATCCAATCGGGAACAGGAAACGGGGGCGGGCGTGGGGTGGGGGAAAATTTCACAATGTCTTATATTTTTCTAAATTATGTGGACGGAAGTATTGCCCGTTACCTTTAAAGATACCTTCTCACCGCGTACAAACTATGTGGTTTGATGTTTTTGGACTAAAACATATTCAAACTAATTGATAATTTAATCTCAAGCATGTTACCCCAAGCCGTAAAAGACTAGTTTAAGAATCCACGTTTGTCACGTTACTTGAGGGAGAATCCATTTTCAGCTTGTATTTGCCCTTGCTGGTCGCCATTTACCATAGATATTGAAGCTAATGTAAATTATTGGATTATCCTTTGCCACTTTCCCTTTTTCGACGATTAATCGAAGAGTCTGCGGTACATTTAAGTCCCACAACCGCAAACCAGTCGATCAACACAGACGAAGTGCGCTCTACGTCACCCGAGTAACTGACATATTGTCAGTTAGTGATACACGTGGGCTCAACTTGGGTGTTTTTCAGGGAAACTAGTAAGATAGTGTGTCTCTACTTTTCATATATATCAAAATATGTCATAAATATGCCATATATAAATTGGAAATAACTGCTTTATAATTACTTTCGTGGGGATGCATCTTTAAGTCCCTTTTGAAATAATGAAAACCCAAAATCATTTCATCATTCAGTCATCACAATAAATCTATTTCAGAAGCAAAGGAAAAGTTCTGAGTTTGAAACTTACTGCAATTACATAAACACCAAATTAAAAGAATTTTCGCCGTGTACTCAATAAATAAAATACCCCTCATCTTAAGAAAAGACGCCTTGATTTAAATGACGAATTTTTTCAAAGGCTAAGCAGAATCTTATCTCAAAGTTGTAGAGTTTCTTAACCCCTCGCATCTCAAATTCTGATAAATCAAAATAACTTCTTTAATTATAAAACATTTTTATTGGTATTTCAAAAGCAAATATTCACTTTACAAATTATAAATCATAGGAAGTGAAAAGTTTCCGAAATTGTCTAGGTTTGGTTCGGATTTTAATTTCCAACAATCTTGGGGTTTGTTGTTCCTATCTTCACAATATTTTCTGAATCGCTGTAATAAAACAAAAACCACATAGGATCGAAATGCTTTATAAAAGTTAATGTAAAGTTTACCAGATCACGTCGGTAGTCAATGGAAATGAAGCCCGATCTATATTCCCCGCGATAACATGAAGTGTAGACACTCATTGGTTAAAATATTCTGGTCACCAGTCCAATATGTCGGGTCGGGAATGAAAGAGATCAATATATGAATGACGAGCCCCAAAATAATTTATGCACTAAAAATTTATATTCTTCTTAGATTTGTTGTATTTTATAAAACAGTGCTTTAAAATAATTCCTCCTCACAGTCCTCACAATGTCTGTGTCTATGGCACCATAGCCTGGTTTTCTGATAGTTTATTGTCCTTTGTTCAGATTTCATCATAGGGCGCCACACTGAGAGTCACACAATATAACCATGTCTTTGGAGGATGCAACAATATTAGCTAATTAACAACAGATAAATACTTACATCAATTTGTCTTTTCCTGAAAGCCTCACCAGTCATATCTGAAATAATAGAATAAACACAAGTATCTCCTTTTTAAACAGTAATTTTATTCCGGATATCTGAATGGGATTGGGGAACAGGCTTGTAAAGCCCCTTTCTCTTTTTTAATCTCTTATTGCGAATCTTAGAAATGCATAGGTAGTCCCAAAAAATATCTCATATTTTAACGCTGCCATCTTAGTTGATTGTCGAGATGATTTACTTGAATAATGGTTTATGCTGTTGTACATGTATAGGTATACAACCTCTAGCTTCTTGACAAAATAATAATAATAATAATCAACATATACCATCAAAATATAAATAAAACGGTATTATAAAACATATAATTAATCAAAATGAATTACTGTAACATTTAACTCATTTTGCATCAAATTCCCCAATGAATAAACCAAATTTTGGGATCCTAAAAACCTGAATTGTTTTAAGAAGAAAATCGCTTTTCAGTGGACAGTTGACCACATGGACATCACAGGGTATTTTAAGCATAATGTGTCCTTCGTATACGAAGAAAGCGAGGACTAAATTTCGATGGCCGTTTATATATGTATAGAAGATGTATTGTTGTGTCGAGTCTGCATTATAATATTATCATGGTTATAATTCATGTGTTGGTCACAGTAATACAAGTATCAAAAGAAATATGCATAAATAGATCCTAATGTATATGAATATCTACAAGTTATTAAAATTGATTACCAATATAAACGGAATATAGTGAAGATGCTACCGTGTAGAGCTTGACTCGTGATCACGTGGCATTTATAAGGTTGGATAAACATTAAGTGTACTTCAGATGATACTGTATGTAATAATATTATGTTTTCGATACACATAACTAATTATAAGGTCAACAATAGAACAACGACAGTGAAGTGTATAATTGGTTTTACACGCAGAGACTTCACCAGGTACGTCCAGGTTTTGTTTGTACATAAAAAACAAAATAATACAATAGCGTACAAAATGAGCCTCCAAAATCCACTGCTGTCCAGACACCATCTTTGTTCCCATCGAGGAGATTGTGGAAATATTGACCAAAATCTTCATTCCACCCATATCGACATCTCCAGTGAAAAACAGTTTCCCATTCATATGTACGAGTCGCATCCCCTTTAAAGATAGCATAAATGCAAAGTTAACAAACATTAAAATGGAAAGGAATTAAAATGGCATACGATAACAAACAAAATATGGTAGTAAAGATTATAATAAAATATGACATGTAAGAAATTAAAATAGCTAAAAGTAATAAAGGTTAAAATAAAACAGCGCTTAAAACAATAAAATGAACTTGGATACATGTATTAATAGCCATAGTAGTCAACAAAAAGGTGTGTTTTTAAATTGCGTTTAAAACTGTCAATGCTATCAGATAGTTTAATATTGAGAGGTAAGGTATTCCATAGAAAAGGAGAAGCGCAGGAAAAGGAGCGTTTACCATAAGATGTGGAAGGATAAAAAGGTGTAAGCAAGTTCCTATTTTGAGATCGGAGTGTACGGGACAAAGTATATAGGGAGATACGGGATTTAAGGTAATCTGGCCAATTATCTGAATGTAATGTAGTGTAAGTAATTTGAAAGTGATACGGCGTGATATAGGAAGCCAGTGTAGATCATGTAAACAGGGGTAATGTGATCGGTAGGTTTAGTTCTGGTAAATGCTTGGTGCTGCTTTATTCTGAATTTTCTGGAGGAGAAAAAATTTCTTTGGAGGAAGATTACATAGCAGGAAATTACAGTAGTCCAAACAAGATGTAAAAAAGGTGTTCACAAGTATTTTACAGATTTCATTGTCAATGAAGTTTCTTATCCGGCCAATTTTATACAGTTGTAAATTTGTTGATTTACAGATAGAAGATATATGGTTACGCATGTTAAATTTACTGTCAAAATAAATACCTAAATTTCTAACATTCTTAGCAGGAGACACATCACAACTACTAACTTGAATTTTATAAATGGACAATTCTTTTTGTTTTTGATTTGATCCAATAATAAGCACTTATTCATGTTACCGAATCGTATCACCTTTAGACATAAAATTAATCGATATATATATTGGATTTATTTGTAGATTGATTTGTTTTATGGAAGACAATTAATCGTATACACCTTGTCCGATCACTTATTGAAACAAGAGAGCACATCAACCCATTTAAATAATACTTGATTGCGTACCCTTTACCTCATTTAATTATCAAGCACTGTCCTACAGAAATGTATTTTGCATGATCGGGTTTACGACTAATAAACTAAACGTTACATGCAATCTAACAAAAAGATCACATATTATGCACCTGTGGGATATATTTTAAATATCACAATAAAGACAAGACATGTGTAAAGATATCGCACTGCGTTGAAGGCTATTATAAGGTTGTTTTGATTTTCTACGGCAACAACCCTATAGCTGTGGGGTATGTTACGAAATGAAATGAAATGGGGTTTAACGTCCTACAACCTACTCTTATATCGAATTCCAACTGCAAAGGGATCTCTTACGTGCACGCCAATGTATACATCCGAATGACTAAACAGTTGTCCCTGTCAAGGGTATGTTACGTATGAGGCATATTATGGATGTGCGTACCATGAACACCTGATACTTATTCATTTTTATAAGTCATTAGTTTTATGCTGATGGTTTTTCACTTGTTATTATCTCCATCCTGCCTATCTTTTACGGGGGTTTGTCCTTTGCTATACCATGGTAGTTATTACTTTTACGACGCCGTATTACCAATTATTTTAATCTACGCACCGTTATAATCATAGGCAATAACATCTATGTCGATGTCTTCATTTGTCACTACACCATTAAAATCTCTGTCATTGTCAAATCCTGTTAACTCAGCTCGAGCTCTTAGTGAACTGGGTGGATGACATCCATATAGAGCATACCAATAACTGTAAAACAAGTACATATAGAGCATACCAATAACTGTAAAACAAGTACATATAGAGCATACCAATAACTGTAAAACAAGATACATTTCCATGTAATAATTATATTTAAACCACAATTAAGGCATATATTATTTTGTTACTTTCTTGGTTGGCTAAATACTAATAACACGATAATCTTACTTCTTCAAAGCTGACGCCCCAGTAATGACAACCAACAAAACGACGAATCGAAACATCTTGATTTTACTGAAAAATGCAAATTATTATGTAAGAAATTAATACATTGACCTCTGACATGTGACATGAATAACTTGACGCCAGGACGAGTTTGTGTTACCATGTCAATGTAAACGAAGCGTGTGTAGCGACAACAATTTTTTACGTTTGTGTAACAGTTTCTCTGTGCCTGTCTTACACTTGGAATATTTACCTAATGTAATGAACTAAAACTGTCGATAATAATTAATTATCACACTGTTAGTCGAATGTTTTTAACACTGGGGCTCCCAAATTGCGATGCACTCGTGATCAAATTAAACGCCGTATATGGTATTTTATAAATAAAAAACCCAAAAAAAAACAAAAAAAAAACCACAAACAAACAAACAAAAAAAACCTAAACAAAATATACAACACTGCCTGTAAATAATTAGATTAGCAGCTTTAGACGTATCAATAAGTCGTTCCTAAAATAAATTACTGTCGATGTGATAGTTTATAATAAGAATTCTTACCTGTTCAATGTGTCCTAGGCCAGTGAGTGTCATTGAATATGTGTTATTTTCTAGCCATCGCCCAAATCATTTATATACATAGGACTTTTTTTTTACTATTGCACGAGACGGTCTGGTTTTATATAAATAAAGTTGATTTAGGTTACAATTTAAATATTTACATGTCATACTAACACGGGTCTTAAGGAGTTCTCACTTGAAATTTTGCTGACATCATTATTGTGTTGTAACGGAAATGAAATGAAATGGGGTTTAACGTCCTACTGTTTTGCTCCTAAACTGGGCTAATGAAGACGGGAATACGCCATACAGTGTGCTATGAGGAAAATTTACCCGGGCAGCGGCGCTACGGCCTACTCTTATATCGAATTCCAACTGCCAAGGGATCTTTTACGTGCACACCAATTTGTACACGAGGGGAAACCACGCCGGAAAATCTGGATGAACTTTCTCGGCCAATGCAGCGATCGATCACCTGACCTCCAGGCTAGCGAGCCAGCGTCTAACCCACTTAGCCACGTGATCCCCGGTTTGTAACGGCATCTAATGGTAGGACCCCCCCCCCCCACACACACACACCCACACACACACACACACACACCCCAACAAAAAAATTTTTTTTTTAGAAAATGGTGAAGATTAATTTTCTAAGATTGATAATTTAATGACTATTAAAGAATACATTTTTAAAATTGGAGACTTTCCAATTTGAAAGGTTTGCCTATGTATAACCAAGGAGCCGAGATCGCTGAGTGATAAACACACATTTCAAGTTTCATTAAAATCAGAAAAAGAAATTGTGACTTCTAGAGGGTCCACAACCTTGGTATTACATACTTTTACACTATTTGCGTACCGGAGCGTCCATTTTGTCTGACAGTTTCGGTCGGATTATCACGAAATTCGAACTCAGCCATCATTAAGGTGTAACGGTGATATATTTAAACGGTTTGGATAAAAATTAAGACCTCTAAAGGAACGACTACATCGTTATCAGATGTCATTAATCAAAATGGATAGTTTACGATAGTCAACAAGCTGCAGAAACCTCCGGTCTAATTCCTATCACAAGTTTGCAATTGAGACTCCTATCAGCCTGTCCATTTAATTGCATTCAGGATCACATTAAAGATCACGTGTTAAAATTGACGGTAAGGTAATTATCCTGAATCAAGTCGGCCCACTACACAAGCTGCTTCGAAAATATGTAGAGCCAAGAATGTGATGAATGGGAGAGGGCGTGTTCTTTAACTAAGAATGTATTGTCAAGGAGGGGTCACGGTAGCTAGCCTGGAGGTCGCGTGTTCGATCCCTGCATAGGCCGAGAAAGATCATCGGGATTTTTCGGCGTGGTTTCCCCTTATCAGTGGTGCAGAACGGAGGGCCTGACAAGGCCAGCTGTCTAGTCGTTCGGATGAAACGAAAACCCGAGGGTCCGTGTATACATTGGCGTGCACGTAAAATATACCTTGGCAGATGGAATTCGATATAAGAGTCTAGGCCATAGTGCGTCTTCCCGGGCAAAATGTCCCTCATAGCAAACTGTATGGCCGTCTTCATTAGCCCAGTAGGAGCAGAACAGTAGGACGTTAAACCCCATTTCATATCTACCAGAAGCCTTATCAGATGTACAAACCATGGGGCCATTATCTCTTTGATATCCATGGTCTTTATTTTTAGAAAATGACTTGCGCGATAAAACCACACCCATGTAGATAATAGGCTACGATTGTCTAGTTTGCTGTCCTAATTCAGAATTAGTCATCCCCTTTAAACGTCCACCAAACGTTTCAACACTCGGATTGGTCAGTATATTAACCTTCCTGTTAGTTGTCAGGCGAATATGACAACCCATCGTCATATCATGGACTGTGTATTGATGGACAGGCAACGTCCATGAAGCCTTTAGAATTCTGTGCCGCGGCAAAAAATAGACCGTACAATCGTGACTAAAATAAAATTACCCCCACTCGCGCAATTACCAGTATTAAGTTTAAAAGCAAAGAAACAGAAATCAATTCATAATATTTTTATTAATTTTGCTACTCTATTTTTTGCAACCCATACATAGATAGACGACTAACTGATGATTGGGGTGTAAATGTATCAACACATCGTCTTTGTTTACCTAGGAATCCGACAAAAAACATGCCATGTCGATTTTTTCGTTAAAAACAAACCTACTGAAACACTCTTTTAATTTTTACTTCTGCACAATTAATCATCATTCCGGACAGTATTATACCTAAACTACTTTATTTTCATAATTTTAAAAGCCTTCATACAAGGACGAATTTGGATTATTAAGCAAAATCAAATTGCTTACAAAAACTACGAAAATATTGAAATCGATCATTTCATAATTTTCAACTGCTGCATTTAGAAATTTCAATGTTCTAAACTGAAGAAATGCGTCACTACCGGATAGGAATACTTATCGGGTTGAAAAATTACCATGTAATTGTAAGAATACCGTAAATTCTAAGGAGGAGTTCGAGAAATTAATCTGTATAAAATCCCGTAGTGTCAAAATCACATCGCTTGATTTGCCGTTGATTTTGAGATCTCGTCGTGTCTCGCGCGAGCGGCAGAGAAACCAACCAACGGGACTCGTTGCCTGTCCATCTATATACGGTCCATGGTCATATTACGAACCCCAGTAGCAAAGTTCTGAACCATAACGTTAAATACTCCTCCGACCTGTCTTGCTATGATTTTTTTCTCTTGATCTTATTGCCTTATGTTGAATAACAATTTTAAAATTAAGACCAAGGACATGAAATGAAATGGGTTTAAAAGTCACACTTTTCTGTACCAACTGACCTTATGAAGACGGTCAAGGCCAAGGAGGAACGTTTTCCCTCTAAACTAAAAGCACGTGTTAATCAACAACCAGATGACTATAATTATCCATTTAGACGACAGCGGTGCTTCGCTAATCATCTCCCGTCGTTTGTATGTTTGATATAGACCACTTGGAAATGTGGGTGGGCGTACTTCAGTATGGATTTTATATTTGATTTTCCCATATGATTGTCGTTTTAAAGGGTTTCCCTGTATATCAAAACCAGTAATTTATGCAGGCGGATACAGGGCCGGATTAGGATGTATAGAGGCATCAAGCACTGAAAAGACTAGGGTTTCCCTTATACATGTATATATATATAATTCGAAACAAAACGATAAAATAATATTATAAAATTATAAAATAAGTTTTATCTTTTGAAATTAAACCAAACGTTCATGTATGATGAAATCAAGATAGCCTTTTTTTTCAAAAAAATATAATATTATGTGTTTTTGTCATTATAGCCCTGAATCATGTGCACCTTTATTCTGTACCATGCTAAATCCGGCACGGTGTTGTGGAAGTTCATTTGATGGTTTAATTGTGTTATAGATTTTCCGATATATCTTTCACGATACCAAGAATAAAATCATGCAATAAATGATATATACTCTTCAAAAAAAAAGTAGGCGATATTGAAATGGAAATAAATATGCAGTTTGTGATATGATAAATAGTCATGGACACTTGACATGCTTTGAGAGTATGTTCACAGATGAAGAACTTATCGCCCCAACAGAACCACTGAGCTGCAAGTGCAACACGACGCAATAGCGCCATACACGTGGGATGGGTTCATTGTCAAATTTGACATTTCAAGAAAGGATTGATGAAAACTGCCGCGTGCTGGTTTATCCAATCCATGTTCGCTTTCCTATCGGTTCTTGCATAAGATTTACTGTTTAGCGTAACTTTGCTTTAGTGTGTTACGTTTAATTTGCAATGAGACGTCTTCAACATGATGAACGTCTACGTGCTATTAACATGCTTCAAATGGGTTCTACACAGCGAGCAGTAGCCAACATGCTTAATGTGTCACAGTTTGTGAACCGGTACCAACAAACACACAATGTTGATGATACACCTCGTTCAGGTCGTCCTAAAGCCACTACACAAGCCCAGGGTCGATACATTCGTACACAGGTCCTGCGAAATCGAGGACAAACGGCCAATCAGCTTTCTGTAAACTTGTACGAAGTTACAGGAATTCGAGTAAAACCCCAAACGATTAAAAATCGGCTACATGCAGCCTACTTGCATACGCGACGACCGCGTGTGGTGCCTCTATTAATTCGCCAGCACATGGCAACAGGCGTCAATGGTGTAGGCAACGTAGAAATTGGGGTAATCGTCGATGGGAGCGTGTAATGTTCTCAGATGAGTCCAGATTTACTCTGGATTTCGCCGATAGGCGTGCTCGCGGTTGAAGGCGTGTAAATGAGCGTCATGCTAACGTTAATGTCAGACAGCATGACAGATTCGGGCGTAGGTCTGTTATGGTGTGGGGAGGAATCACCATGACTGGTAGAACGGATTGCATATTGTTCAAGGAAGTGTCACTGGTGTGTACTACCGTGACCACATCCTGGCACCGATAGTTCTGCCCTTTCCTCAGCGTGCAGGTCGACGTTTCATCTTTCAAGATGATAACGCCCGTGCCCACTGCGCTCGTGTCGTGAATGACTACCTCCAGAGTCGCCATATTGTATGCCTTGGCCAGCCATGAGTCCTGACCTTTCCCCTGTAGAGCATGTCTGGGACATGATCGAAAGACGTGTTCGTCGAGGTCAACGTCAACCGACAACACTGCAAGAATTGGGATTGATCGGTTGATTAGGAACATGCCACGACGAATTGCTGAATGTCTGAGGATTGGTGGAGCAATTACTCATTATTAAGACAAAAATTAAAAACGTCCATTTTCACTTTTGACAGATAAGCCGCCTCCCCCCCCCCCCTTTACATTGCGATTTTTGTTGACTTTTTGGTTTAGAATTGAAGAAAAGGGTTTGAATATACAGGTTTTGGTGACTATTCATGAATTTTGAGGTGTAAGAATACAAGAGTTAAGAGGTTGGTTGGGTTGAAATGTAGGGAGGAGAATTTCATGTTTATTTGTCTCTACTTCAACTTGTGTATCTCAAGTTTTTCATGATGAACCTCATACGTGCTTTTGGGCAAGAGGTTGCCACATGTTGCTCCATCTGTGATAGAAAGCGTCCTACCCAACGGAAATTTGGAAAAAGTTAGAGCCGGT